TCAGGAGGCCGGGGAGCGTCTGGCCAAGGACCTGCAGATACTGGCAGACAAACTCCGTGAGCACATGAACGAGGGCCGGGAGCAGATGGAGAAGTACGTCCAGGAGATGCAAACCATGATGGAGCAGAACGCAGATGACGTCAGGGTCAGGGTCTCCGCCTACAACCGCAAGCTGAAGAAACGCCTCAACAAGGACACTGAGCAGATCAAAAGGTGAGAGAAACCCACTGAGGCAGAGAGGCGTTCACTGGAGGGCAGTAAGAGGCTTTTATCTAACTTTTACCCACTAAAACTTACAAGAACATCGAATCCTGAGTGGATTTCATCAGAACAATCACCAACAGTTTCAGGTTTGCAGGTGCTTCCTTAAATACTTTATACTAATTTATGTTTTAATACAAATGTACGTTGTCTTATTGTTGGTTTTTAATATACTGCTTGTTCCCAGAGAGCGATGTTTGTAGAAGTATTGATATGAAACTGAATTGAATATAGAACTGTAACTATTAATCAATTAATCGACTATTTGATTGACAGAAATTGGAAACTATTTTGATAATCAGTTCACACATTTAAGAGGCAGATTTAAACTAAATGTTTTTTTGTTTTCAAATGTTCATATGACTACACTATGCAGGCTGACATATCACTTCTTTAGTACCTATTTCTAATAAAAAGTAGAATATAGGTTGCGCACAGCAGTGCTTCGCATTAATGGTTTATTGTTTTATGTTATTTTGTATTTTATAGTTTTAGATTAAGTTTTTTTCTTTCTGTTGATCAGTGTCAAAACACATCATTAAATCTACTTTGATTTAATGCTGTAAAACAATAAAACAAGGTGCTGTATCAGACTTTGTCAGGGACAGAATAAAGTCCTGGACTGACTTCCATCGTTGTCCCGGTTGGTTTTACAGTCCGCTGACCTTTATCAAGACTGAAACATTCAGTAGTCAGTGTTTTTATAGGAACTGCATGTTGTATTTTATAGAAATATCTGTAGAATATTATAAATACGATATAATATAAATATAAAAATGCAAAACTCTTTGCATATTTTTTATTAATTATATTTTTATGTAAGAAAGTGAAGAAGTAAATTCTGCTGAATATACTTCCTGTTACTGCATTTACACACTATATAATAATACTTTCTTTACAATAGACTAACAGACTAAACACTGATGATGAATCAGATAATTATGAGTCTCGTTCTCATTTAAAACTCGTCCTTCTTTCAGACAAGTGTCCGAATACCTCGAGGAGATTCAGTCCCGCACCTCAGACAACATGGAGGACATGAGGATGCGTCTGGACCCTTACTTCTCTCAGGTGCGTGACAACGCCCAGGCAAAGATCACAACCCTGAATGATCTGCTGAAGTCACAGGTGGAGAACATGAAGGAAAAGATTCAGACCACAGCTGAGGACATCAAGGAGCGCTTCGAGAAGACCGCTGAAGACCTGCGATCCACCCTGGAGGACAAGATGGAGGAGCTGAAAGACTGGTTCAAGCCTTTGATGTTTTGGTAACATGTAAACCCTGTAATCCAACAGTCTGGACTATCTGTTTATCCACCAGTATCAATCCATCTGTATCAAAACCAACCTTAAAGGATTCATAAATGCTCAGATTTAAAGAAGGGAAGTCTCTATGTCTGCTACAGTCTTAATGTGTCTCTGTCACTGAAAACCCTTCAATAAAAACCAACTGAAGAAAATCATTGGTCATCAATAATGTGCTCAACTCTGATCATTTACACACATTTGGGGCTGAATAGGGACAGATTTATTTCTCTACAAACTTCTTATTATCATTTAAATTATTTCAAATACACTATAGTAACAATAACATATATTTTGGTTAAGAAACAACATGTTCAGGTGTTGAAAACTTACTAGCACTCAGATGTGTTTACAAAATGTACATTTAACACCTTTGTTTGAAAGTCATCCATTTATTTTAGCAACTTTTCTACATCCAGTTACGTTCACATTGCAAGCCTCAGTGCTCTATTCGGATTTATTGCTCAGATTTTGTTTGGCTGTATCAGATTCCAGTGATTTTATATTGTATGTATCTTACTGTAACACTTAACACAATATCACTTTAATATCAGTCCTCCATATAATCGTATTGTGACAAAACAATTTCGGTCTACAGATGTAACCTCAAATTAAATGGTTACAGGTGAATCACACCAACATGATGAATGTGTATCTGAAAAGTCACATTAATTCTGTTATTAAACTGAGGAAAAAAAACATTTGAAAGTGGCCCGAATCTGAACTTTAAAGGTCAGATACCATGTGATGAAAGAAATCTGAGATCTGAGTCAAAAATGGGGCAAAAAAAATCATATTTTAGTCACTCTGGCCTCCAGTCTGAGTGAAGGTTTTGACCTTTTGTTGACTTCGGGGTGAATCAGCTGAAATCAACACACTGACTGCAGCAGGGTTGAGTCATTATTCAACAAAAAACATTTAATTTCAAAGATAATATAATAATAATAATAATAATGACATATATTCTTTATTATCACTAAAGTAAAGTAAGTAAAGTCTAATCTTAACCTATAATGATACATCGTCATTTATTTATTCATTAAATTTAAGTTTGCACAATATGGTAAAATATGTGCCAAACAGACTTAAATCTGGAGAACTACAGTACTTTATTATATAATGCCGTTTATCACATTTTACCTTTATCAAAATATTGCAGCTTCTGCAATTTGTGACATATTTTATGGATATTTCATATTATATTAAAAACTGTACAATGAACCTAATCAGCGAACTCAGTAACTGCAAGAAATGTATGTAAAACAAGTGATTTGGATGAATTTTGAGCAGATTATTTCCTGTTTGGGGAACTTTTTATACAATTATCTGTGTGTTTTATGTATTTCAACAATCATTCATACTTAACAGGCTTTTTTTTTTGGACAAATTCAGTGTTCTTGTCCCTGATGTTTGTCCATTGTTCTATTAGACCATTTTCTTTACTTTATATTTACATTTCCTCACAGAAGTGAATCTACTGTGTATATTTTACAGTTTTCTTCCCATGTTTTTGTCTTTATTTATATTTTTTGAGCTTGATTGTGATTTCTTTGCACCGAGGCAAATTCCTCATATGTGAAAACTTACTTGGCAGTAAACCTGATTCTGATTCTGATGAAGCTTTGGCGACCCCTAGTGGGGGTCCCGAGCCCTAGGTTGGGAACCACTCATATAAAGTAGCAGAAAGTACCTCAAAACTGTACTTAAACACAGTACTCGAGTTCATGTACTTAGTTACTTTCCACCACTGACAAACAGTAATAACTGCATGTAAACGTAGTAAACATAATCTTCGCACACTGATGATGATGAACCGGCTGGATGTGTCAGAAACCTGCAGGTAAGAGACTGCATGCAGGTGCTGGTTGGTTGGACTCCTCTTACAGTGTTTATAAACCTGAATCAGACCCCTGGTGGACCTCAGCTGTCACTGTCCGGAGCGCCACCTTCTGGGTTGGAGTGTGGATAAAAACTTTGACTATATTATTATTAGTACATTGAATTATCTCTCATGTGCCTTTTCAAAATTATAGTTGCTGCAAAAAATGATTATTTTCATTATTTGTAAACCTATTATTAATGTTTTTATTGTTTTTATTCTTTGTATTGTATCATGTTACTTTTATGGTTTTCATTCTCTCCTATTTTTGTATTTATTTATATTTATTTACCTTATTTTTCTTTAATGGCTACAGCGTTCAGCGTCCTTATCTTATCATTGTCTTCCCTCTACCGTGTTTTTCTTCTTGTTCTTTATTTCTGTCCTGTCTTTGTTTGTCCCTTAGTGCCCGGCTTGTTACAGTTTTTAAAAGGTGCTTTATGAATAAAGTTACTATTATTATTATTAAATAAGCCTGGCCATCAATATGTGAGTTTTCATTATATATGTAGATGTGACTAAAACTAAGAAAACATAAACATATACACAATGTGGCCTATTTATCAGCATTTTGTTCATTTCTGTGAAGAAAGCTTTAATTTCTAAAGTTTAGATCTAAACTTTGAAGACCTGAACACAAGCTGTTGTTACAGTGTCTTCACTTTCTACTAAATGCAGTTAAAACAACCAAAGAGCTAATAGAAAATGGGCAAGCATCAGATAGAATAAAACACTGAATTTGTCTAAAAAAAAAGGCCACTTAAGTAGTTAAGATAGCTAAAAAAAATACATAATACAGACAGATAATTGTATAAAAAGTCCCATAAAATATGAGGAAAACTCATCTCTGAAGCAATATTTAAATATCTCTTCAAAATAGTGAGAACATTTTCTTATCTTCAAAATTCATCCAAAACATTAATTTTATAATGAGACAGTTATTGTTCACTATTTAAGTTCATTGTACATTCTGCACTGTTATTGTTTTACATTGGATATAATATTGATGTTTTCTATCTATATTCTTATATATTCTATTATAATAAACATACTTCAGGCTCTTATCTTATTATATTTCTTTTTCATTTTATTTTATATGTATATAAATATATATACACACATTTTCTATTTCTATTCTATATATATTGCGTTAGATATTGTAATTATTATTTATATTCTTTAATGCTGAACAACTGTAACAAACTAATTGACCACCTGGGATCAATAAAGTATTTCTGATTCTGATTCTAATAACAGGAAATATCGATACAATACGTCACTTATTGAAGGACGTTTTAATGCATACGTCTTGAAATATTAAAAATATTTTAAAAAATTGTGAAAAATATCTTTTAAAAAAAATTAAAAAACATATTTTTTTAATTTTTACTTTATAAAAAAACATCTGAACGTAGCACGTGAAGCTCGAGCACGGTGACGCCACACTTGTTCCCGCCCACGTCGTTTAAACCAGCCAATCACAATTCTTCACGCAACTCCTCCAGCCAATCACAGAGGCCCGGCTTCCTGTGACGCACAACGTCCCCCACCGCGGTTAGGACGTAATTTCCGGACAACATGTCCACCAGGTACGAAGCGGAGAGTTTAATACGTTATCCTGAGTGCTGACTCCCGCCGCCATGAGCAACCCTTGTCGAGAAGTCATCACTCTTCAGTTGGGACATTATTCAAACTTCGTGGGGACTCACTGGTGGAATTTACAGGTCGGGGCCAACGTTAAGTTAGCTTAGCTTAGCGTCAGCGTCAGCGCATGTGTTTTTGTCAAACTTCAGGGGAGAGGCTGTGTGTGTGTGTGTGTGTGTGTGTGTGTGTGTGTGTGTGTGTGTGTGTGTGTGTGTGTGTGTGTGTGTCTGCTGCAGCGTGAATGTGCATTTTATTTTTTATGGTGCTAAAGATGCTCATTATGACGTCTGTTTGTTGTTTTTTTATAAACATTGTTTTTAAATTGTACATTTGTGAGTTTCTCTATTAGAAGATACAGATACATGACGTAGAATAGGGTTAGAAATATGTAAACTACTGTTTTAAATGAGGGAGTTGGATTAGATTAGAGGTTGCCAACCTTTATTTTCTATCCTTTAATATCTTAATATCCTTTAATATCTTAATATCCTTTTAATATGTTATAGAACCACATTTAAAGAGTAAATGTGCGTGAAATAAGGATTCACCAGTGGATTTACAGCCTTGTTTCAACGCAGTGCACTACAGCAATCTGTCTAAGCAGCTATTCTAAAAAAACAAATAACATAAAACTACAGTCTGAAACTGAAAGTAACTCCTGCATGAGGCTGCTTATCATTACATCTTCACTACATGAATTAACCAACCCTGATGGCAGTGTCTCTCGTTTCTTTTTAAAGGAGCTGAACGTTTGGTGGTATATGTGGTAACTCTGTGTCTTCCTCCTGTCTTTGTTTGCAGGATGCAGCTTTGTCATACGATCCAGAGACGCCACCAGGTGACATCCAGAGTGATGTTGTGTTTCGTGAAGGACAGACTCTGGGCGGACATGTCACCCACACACCTCGCCTCATTGCCATGGATCTCAAAGGTAACCTCTCCGATCACGTGCTGTTATTAAAGCTGAAGACATCCTGGATACTGGAACAGCTTTATTTTGTTTTTTTAGCAGCTTATTTCTGTTGATTTAAATGTTTTCCAGTTATTAAAGCTTTGGTTTTTGTCATTAAGTTTCCTTAAATTGATTCTTGTTCATGCAGTAACTTGGATGTATATAAAGCCTGGAAAGTTGAATCACCTGCCTGTCATACTCTGTCTCTAACAGGAAGTCTTCGGACTCTCCGGCAGGACGGGAGTCTGTATGACCCTGGCAGAGACTCCTCCCCGCTCACATGGTAAATAAGAGTCTCTGTATGTGCGTTATTTCCTCTATATTTTCACAGTAAAGTGTATCGCTGTGAAACCGTACATTCAGTTGTTTGCTTGGCATCCTCTGTTGCACATTTGTGTTTGGGGTAATGAAACACTGAACAACAATGCCTGCAGTGCTCACGTACCTGCAGCGCTGGATATATCAGATCCAACAAAGTTTCCTTTATTACTAATGCATTTCTTACTGGTTTTTCAAACTAAAAGTCTTTTTATATGGACAATTATTGGTGTTTTTCATATTAAATGTGCTCCGTCTGCCAGGGATGGAAACCTCATGATGCACAAAGAAAGTCCTCCTGCGAAGAACCCCTTTCTTGAAGATCTGGATAAGTTAGATGTGAGTGTTTATAGTGGAAATAGAACAAGCAGCTTAGTGATCTATAACATTTTCCATCACAATATTGTCTTGAATAGTGCCGTCTAAGCAGCCTGAATGATGATAAATGAAAAGTCTTTTCACTGTTCTATATATTTGTAGTAGTAGTCAGGACGCAGCTAGGAAACAGGCTGCTTTTTTAAATCTGTAATCCAGTTAAGACGTATTATTGCAGCTTGATACAAGCGTTCTCAAACAGTTGTTTGTTTTTGTCTCCAGAAAGGGGAGATCCTGGCTGAGGCTTATTTATACACCACTTCCCAGCCTCAGTCCTCAGGTAAGAGAACCCTGGACAAACCTTCTTTTAAAACTCTGCATGACAAATGAGATTTTCTGTCCATCACAGCAGCGATCACTCTGAAAACTCTCCAACCAGCAGGTGCAGTGAGTGTGGATACTGTGAACAGCCAGCTGGCTCGACTCCAAAAGGGCTACAGGCTGGAGGGCAGCGTGAGGGTGTGGTCCGACTTCCTCAGGATCCACCTGCACCCTCGCACCGTCTCCGTCATCCACCAGTACAACCACGATGGGTAGACTTTCTCCGTAGTTTCTCCTACACACTTCTCAGCCCGTTCTCATTCCCAGATCTTCAAATACAGACGCGAGCGGTGTTCAGTTAGCTGCAATCGGAGACTTCACGACTAGATTCCACTAAATCCTACACACTGGAGTTTTTTTAAAGTGTGTTTTCTTTGCTTGTGTTATACTCAGTGGGTTAAGAACGAGTCTTAACACAGCTTTGTATTTGTGTGTGTCCAGGGAGGCTCACCGTCTGGAGGCTTTCGGCCAGGGAGAGGGTCTCCTGCAGGGGTCAGTGCTCGAGGAGCTGGAGGACAAACTGCACTTCTTTGTAGAAGAGTGTGATTACCTTCAGGTAAGTCGTTGTTCTTTTATCTCTCTATTCTACTCTATGAAACTAAAAACATGTAGGTTTAATTATCCACATTTTTCCAGTTTTAAAACGAACTGCTCATCCAGTTTGATTCAGTCGCTCTTCACACATCATCTTTCTGCCTTAATTAACCTTTCAGTATCTGCATCCTGTTGTCCTCAGGGTTTCCAGGTGTTGTGCGACCTGGCTGATGGCTTTGCAGGCCTGGGATCAAAGGTCACGGAGATGCTGCAGGACGCTTATGGTGGAAGAGGCATCCTAACCTGGGGGTTGGCACCTGTCAGTCACCCAGATTCAGTGAGTCACAAACTCGACGCTTACTGTTTTTTTAAAAGGCAGATGTTTTGTAAATGGGCTTCTGTACTTACGGTATTCTTCCTGTTCCACCAGACTCCAATGAAGAACCTCTTTCACCAATTAAACTGCACACTAGGAACAGTCCACTTGGCCAATAACAGCTCTTTCTTCTGCCCGTTGACGCTGCGTGGTGGACTAGGCAGACGACCCTCCTCTCCCACAGCATTCCCCCATCTAAATTATGATGTAAGCTTTAAAACGTGTATCACAGTTTTATTGTTTTTAGACTTTTTAAGAGATGTTTAATGGTAATATATGGGGAGTTTCATTGTTTTGACATTTGAATTGACTTTGTTTTATTTAACTTAAAGCAGCAACAAGGGACTTTCATGTTGTGTTGATTCTGGCGACCCCTGTGGACAAAAGCGGTAGTGTTTCTGCCGCCTCCTTTTATTTATTTTAAGGGGACTGAATCCGACCAGGTGGCAGACATTAAGAATAACTATATAGAAAACATCCAGTCTTCTCCCTGATGGTCTCGTTTGCTTATGCAGATCACATAGAGGCACATTTAGACTGTTTACCAGATACTTGTACTATGTTTAACTTAAAAACTGCCACAAAACTGATTTGAACTCACATAACACTAAACCACGTTGATATTTTGAGTTTATATATGATAAAGGACATTTTAAGACTTACAGACACACTGTAATAAGTGCATATATATATGAATATAAAGTTGGAATCACATCTTATTATTGTTTAATGATATATGTTTGTCTCTTCCCTGTAGCCCTCACTGTGGTACCACTCTAGCTCCGTCCTGGCGTTGGCCCTCGATGCCCTCACTTCGCCTTACAGGCTGAGGAACAACAGCGTCCCCATGTGGCAGGTCGCAGACACACTGGCCGTATCTGGGAGAAAGGTGACTCACAGCTGCTGTTTTCTCTCTGCTTTGTTCACGTCTCTATACAGACAGGCTCATGGTAACTGCTGTTCATTTAAATTCTAGGTGGTGGCTGCTTATGGTGCCGTCCCCTTTCCCATGATGCACGACAGCTCTCTCCCCGACGCCCTGAGTGCCTGCACAGATGCGCTGCCATGGAAACCCCTATCAGCTTGCTCTGAAGCTGGCGACGGCAAATGCTACAGCCAGTTGGCGACACTCAAAGGTTTTGAGGGCCAGAAACTAATCAGGTCTGAATATATGAATAATTTTGTAATGTACCATTATTTCTATTATATAGTTACTATAAATAGTTTTATTCATGGTAACAAAACTTTATTTATATATTATGTTCACACACCGAGCAAAGTGCAGATGCAGGGATTTCACACTACCTCATTTATGTCCGTATGTCTTTACAGTTTTTAAGTTTAAATTATTAATATTTTTTGTGACTTCAAGCACACATTGTTTTTGGGGGGAGAAAAAAAAAGGTTCTGTTGTATTTGTGTGTGTATAAATACTGAAATAATATATTTTCTTATATTTTAGTGATTATTACTAAAGGTTTGCACATTTTTAGAGGCACCTTGTATTTTGTATTCTTATCTGCTTCACACTTTAACTGCTACTTAGTTAAAGGGACAAAATGATGAGTCGAGAACAGTTTTAAAGGTGCTAAACAAGGACAACAACAAATTACCAAAATGAACCCAGATTCCAGAGGATTTTAACCAAGTATTGATCTTGTCTTTAGCTTAGATCGCCATACATTTCTGACTGAATCCATCAGAGTTTAATGATGATGATACTTCGTCAGATCAAGTCTGAAATCTTTCTTTAACAAATATATATATATATATATATATATATATATATATTTAACACAACATTACAAACACAGAAGACACGCGTTTCATAAAGCATGAGGTCTGGTTATTCTGTCCTATTATCAGTGAATTTAAAAACCACATGAAGTCATTTACTCTGGTAAGTCTTTTGTCTGCATCGTATTAAGTTATCCAGGAAGAAACTGGCTTATAAAAACCTGCAGGCATTAATCTTTAATGTGTTTCTGAAATAATTGTCTCTCCATCAGCTCTCTGGCTCCAGGGACTAAACCATCCACTCCCCTGCACAGCCTCCACAGCGGGGAAGACGTCCTGGCGTCCTACATCAGATCTTTCTATCCCACAGCTCCTCTGTGAGTCCCCACGCCGTCACATGCTGTGAACGGACTACTTGTTTATCTTCAGGGTATACATATATGTATGTATGTATTTTAAGCCAACGTTTGCTGTCCTCTTTCCACTTTCAGGGCTCTGCAGTTGGTGTCTACTCCCAGTAAGCTGACGCCACCTTTCCCTCAGATATTCAGTCAGTCCCTCGGGGCTCAGGGCTTCCTGCAGAGCCAGCCTCTCTCGCCTGGCTGTAAGTATATTTATAACTTTTACTTTATCCATGTTTCATAACTTTTCTACCTGAATTTGATGGTTTTATGAAATAATCCTTCCCATATCTCTGCAGCTCCGGCCCCTGTAGTCTCCTCTGTACCCGTCATGACTTCTCTCCAGTCGGCGCCTGTGCTCGGCCGGTGGTTGTCTGAGCTGCATCGCGGCGTCAGCACTTTCGACATCCGCCGCATGGCCCCCAGCTTCCTCTCCCAGGGGCCCGAAATGGCCGACTACGAGGAGGCCCTGGAGGAACTGCGGCATCTGGCTCGATGTTACCGTGACGACAGCGGTGGGGTGATGCGCTCCTCTTCAGAAGAGGATGACTATGACTGACACTGGCAGCGTTAGGCTCCGTGACCTGGAGAGACTGATGGCTGCTAACCTGCCTGCTTCGTTGACCAGCCTGCATGCACTCATACGGAGAGAATAGGAGCTGCGCCTCTGGTTTGTGAACGACCACGACTGAATTACACGGTGAATGGCGAGGAGAGAAGTTTGAAATATACTGACAGAACTGACCTGATGAAGGAATAAATAGAAGATAGACCTCTAAAAGAGATCCATGTGTAGTATTCAGGAAGGTGATGGATGTAGCATCTTGAGACTGTATGGACTGTGGTTACATTTCCTCAGATTACTGTTTATCTGTAAATAAATGTGTTTTATACTAATTGTAAATGATAAAATTACTGTATTTACATGAAGAGATGTACTTGTCACACCTCTGTTTTGGGCACAGGTTCCTCTGACCATTAATTCAGTTAAAGGTCCAGTGTGTAATATTTAGTAAGATCTACTGGCAGAAGTGGAATATAATATTCATAAGGTGTTTTCATTAGTGTATAATCACCTGAATATAGGAATTATTGTGTTTCCGTTACCTTAGAATGAGCAGTTATTGTCTACAGATTGCCACCTTACATGGAGTCTGTCATGCTTCTGCAGCCCCTTCTCATTCCCAGGATTGTCAAATACTTACGCAATCTCCAACGTCACTGCTAGATGCTACTAAATCCTACACTGGTCCTTTAATAAATAGCACAGATGTTGACACGGTGCACTTTAACCAGAGTTCTCATTGTCGTGTTGGAAATCAGTTAACAATGTCGGAGCCCAACAAAAGCCAGAACATGCAAAATGCCAATTTTATATTAAACAATTTAAAGAAAACACTAGTGCTTTGTACTTTCACTTCATTGTTGTTCCCATGATAAGACCAAAACATACCGGATGTGTTTGTTTATTCCCAGCTGTGGATTAATACACATTTGGTTCTCTAGCACAGTGTTTCTCAACTGGGGTAACTTTGAGTACTGCAGGTGGTATGTGAGATTTATTTAAAATGTCAGTCATTAATTAATTTAATAAAAATGGAAATTTAAGTTTGATAAACCACTTTCTATGTTCAGTATTCCTGTTTTCAATGCAATTATTAACTGATGTAAACTGACAACTGCAGTAGAGAATGATGAAGATCCTCATTAAAGCACAAGAGCAACATATCAATAATTGGTTAAATGCAACTACAATGCCGTGCATTTGCAATGGAGCATTAGCCACCAGCCAGCAGCCTTTAGCAGGTTCTTATGGCAGCAGGATGGCGCAGATGGGATTGAAACTCATGGAGCCATGTTCCCCAGTGCAATAGTGTGGCTAGTGGTGTGCACAGAGGAACGTGCTCCATTAGGAAACACAGGCAATATTCCATTCTTGGTTCGGGGCTTTTAATTGAGTTTGTTGACAATAAAATAATTTGCCTTATCCTTGTAAGATTAAAAATGAATGGTGACACTGACCATGTAAAACCAGAGTTTTTCATTATTAGTTTATCAAATGTATTAAGACATTTTTCTTATGATACCGTGGAACATTAAGTAATCAGAACTGGCTTGCACTACTCCAGTTTATCAGCTATAATAGAACTGGAAGTGTATAAAGAAAAACATCCCTGAGAAATGATTTGATCTCAAATCTTTGTAGAGGGACATACTAAAGAAGCACTATGCCAACAAGATAAATCAATCACCACCTCAATGACTTTTGAATCTGTTACCAATAAAAAAACAAAACAAATCCAATGACGTATGAATGTAGAACAGGCATTTTTAATTTGAAATAAAATGATACGAGGATTTCACAAAAGGTGAGGAGATGTTTGAACATTTTCCCACCCAGCATTTTGACAAAACAGTATGCTTCTACATTTGATTAAAAAAAGGCTAAGACACATACCATACCATCATTTAAACTTATAAAACTGAGATTGCACCCTGTTATTTTACAAACACCTCCATACAAGACAGCTCTAATGAAAAAATATGTAGAGTAAAAGTCAAATGAAATGGAGTAGCGTGTGCATAAAAGACATTGGGCAGAGTGCCTGGTATTCTACAGCTATTTATCAAAAAACAGGAGGCAGGGGTAGTGTTGTGGGGATCGGGGAATGTAAATGGAGGACAAGGGCAGACAGTGGGATAAGGGCTCATGACAAACAGTCCAAAATCTGAACTAAGAGCGGGAACGGGACCGAGAGCGAGACTGGGAGCGGGATTTGGAGCGGGATTCTGAACGGGAGGCGGATCGGGAGTGGGAGCGGGCTTTGGCAGGTGAGGGGGAACGGGATTTGGACTTGGACTTTGATTTAGACCTGGCTCTGGATTTGGATTCAGCAGGCGAGCGGGAACGGGAGCGAGAGCCCCTCTCAGGCTCGCCTCCCTCGTCGTCACTCTTAGCCGGCTCGCGGCCCTTTGAGCCAGATTTCCTAGAGCGATCCTTAATCCCTGATCTAGAGCGAGACCTGGAGCGAGAGCGAGATCTGGACCTGGAGTCGTCCTTCTTGCTCTTCTTCCCTTCTTTCTTACTCTTTTTGCTCTTGGGGCTGCGACTCCTGCTGCGGTCCTTGTTCTTCGGAGCACCGTTGCTGCGCTCTTCTTCCTCCTTCTTGCTCTTGGCCTTATTCTTCTTGCTACGAGATCGGCTGCGAGAGCGGGAAGCCGCTCTGTGGACAAAACCAGACAACAGAACATTATTTTATGTCATTTGATTCCTTGCTTTACCCAACCCAATAATTCAAAAAGAAAATGTTGTGAAACCGGCACATTTGAAGTATTTACAGCTATTAGATCACATTTTTTTCCTAGTAATGGTTTTGCATCATTAAAAAAGGGTCAAGGTGAATACAAGCAGGATATCTGCAGGTTTCAACAAATTAAATTTAATATTTAAGATGTTTTAAAGATTATAAATGCAAATTAAGACCATGTTCATGTCCATACGGAGGTAATGTCAACTCCATTAAGCCAAATCAATTGTTAAGACCTGTCGAAATAACATTTGATACATTTTAAAGAAGCCTAGAATTCAGATTATTGAATTAATTTAATTTCCTGCAAACACTGTATTTAGGAGACCTTCTGACATCAGCTGTGCCTTTATGGAAAGTAGAGGAACCATCAGTGAGCCACCAGCTCAGATCCACTGTGAAAAAGTAACGTAGCTTTTGCCTGCTAAGATTAAACTAATTGACAGCCATAAAATACCCAGAGACAGCGGCTGTGGAAAAACAGCAGCTGTAAATATTAAGCTACTTCATTCCCTCGCTGGCTATGTGCTGCGTGCGTACCAGTGCAACCACCTGTGCCTTGTAAACATCTATTTATAGAAAAACGTTCTCGTCTTTCAGCTAACTGGTTATCAAGTGCCAAAGTGTGTTTTTTTTAAATAGGAGGCTGCTGAGAGACTTACGATCGTCTGTCATCGTTGTACATTGCCATGTAGCATGCAGTGGGTTTTGGAACATGTGAATATACAGTTAGGACTCAGCAATCGGTGTGAAACCAATGCACAGCCAGCTCTTTCATTTTACAAAACTAATACACGAAAACAGCTTCTACGAACTAGTTAGACAGCTTGTTTCACTAACATATCCCCCCTCTGATGGATTGGATTTCAAACCTGGAGTGGGAGCGGCTGCGACTGCTGCTCTCACTACGGCTGCGGCTCTTGCGAGAACGACGGCTCCTGGAGCGGGACCTGAGAAAACACACAATAATTAGCAACAGTAACATTGCCCGCAGGCCAACTGCAGAGGTGATTGTAATGAAGCTTCATCGGTTGCTAGGCCAGCGTCTTTTATATCTACAACTGTATGCTCCTTTCTCCAATATTTCTTTCCAGTCACTGCATATGAAACACTGTTTAAACACATGTGCATTCAAATGCCAAACTGTGATGCACAGCTAAACTTCCTAGTGCATTTGCATCAGCAGGTCAAATATAATGACAGTGGCGTGTCTCACCTGGAGCGGCTGCGACTGCGAGAATAAGAGCGTCTGCGTTTGGCTCCAGGGCGGTCCTCAATGAGACGGATCTTTCTGCCGTTCACCTCAGTGCCGTCAAGCTTCTCCAGAGCCCTCTTCATGTCAGAGTACAGCCTGAACTCTATCACCCCCTCATTCCTCCGGCCCTTGTGGGTGTCAGCGTAAGTGACCTCCCCTGCCTGCCTCATGTAGTCCTGTGGAAACACAGCGTGATGAATTAAAATACTAAGCTAAGAAAGAAAATGAAAAACTCAAAGAGGACAACGGTGCTCGCTCAGTGTTGCACAATCAGCAATCAGTGCTCGGATTTGTTTTTGTATAAACGTTTGTCTTCACGTTTTCAGTGGTGAATCTTTCACATGCACTTATTTACTTTTCTATTTCCTTCTAAATCTTGTGAAACTAGTCAGACAGTTCTAATGTACTGTATTCCTAAATTTAGAGCTCCTAGAAATAGACAGCTGACAAATGAGAACGCCATTTATTGGCTGTGGACATTACTTCTTTAAAAACCTTTGAAAATAAATAATGCAAGAAAGAAAAGAAAAACAATACATACCTTCAAGTCCTGCCAGCTGCAGCGGCTGGAAAGATTCTCAACAATGAGCCGATAATCTGTCCTTATCGGTGGACCATATCTGTCTCTTCCCCAGCGTCCATATCCACCTTTTAAGGCAACAAGGAAAGGACAAAAAAATGACTACCAAAAAGAAACAGGGATGGTGCATTTATACTAAACTCCAAGCTACACACTAAAAAAATAAGTCAATATTTATTTGGGAAAAAGAAACAAAGAAGGGGAAAAGCAAAGGTGAAAAAAAGAATTATAAAAAAGAAAAAACTAAATTCATTAAATCCTAAAAAAAAAAAAAAACCTATTTATTTCTTTCTACAAGCCTGAACCTATACAAAACACAAATGTAGCTTATTAAATTGTGGTAAAATTTAGGGCTGCACGATATATTGGTTCAGCATCGACATCACGATGTGCGCATACGCAACAGATCGCTGGATGTGCAATTTTAAGTAAGGTAAATTAACTTTAACATGTCATGCTACCACTTTTTTCTCATTGATGCAGAAGAAAAACTTGCACGGTTCTCATTTTCCAGGACTAAATCTACAGGAGACGTCTGTAATATGTTTTACCCCCAATAAAGGGGTTCTTGGATACAAAAGAGTTTGATGCTAGTGAGTGACCTGCAGGCCCTGCGTGTACAGAGCCGCCGGTGTGTTTTGGTCAGTGGAGCAGAGATGCAGCTTTACCCTTGGCATCAGATTGCGTCGTAAAGTCTGCGTCACTGCAGCCACCTCGTGGTAAAGCATGCGCCTCGTCTCTGGTGTCTGTGTCAGGAGGAGGAATAATTTGGTGGGTTTCCAGTCGGAGATTCTCAAGGAGTTTTCAGTCTTGGCTAAATGCTAGATGCTGAGACCTGACACTGCACACCTGACAGATAGGCATTTCCACCAACAGGGAACTGACTCCGTTCTGGTTTACACACCTAGTTTGGAACCGTCCTGAGCATTTCAACCAAAAATAAATTGGTTCGGAACCTGAAAAGTTGGTTCCCAGTTGGAACCCAAAAAAAATATGTCTTGCTTAGTTCATTGGGAACCACAGTAACAATAACCTACAGGTCGTTGTGCAGTGTGCACCGACTTCTAATGGTTGCGTTCAAAACTGGTGGAAATGCGAGCTGCCGATAGCACCAAGATTCTTGAACAGAACCAGTTCAAGAACCAGAGCTAATCTGATGGAAAAACACTTATAACTGACTGTCTTGACCGATGGTACTACAAGTACAATGTTTAGCTTATATAGTGTAAGTAATCACCATTACTGTGAATACA